TTTTGTTACCAGCAAATCATGATGAAAGATATATGAAATCTTCACAAGAACCCTAGATCATTACAAATTATATAAAGTAGCCTAACTGAATAGAACTTGTCTTTCACTTGAAATATACAAAAAAAGTTCTATTTCTTAAGTTATATCGCCAAAAACATCTTTAAATATCAACCCATGTTGATAAAAAAGGCATGAATTCATTTAGATATTTAATGGCTAATATTAAGTTATCAGTTGTAAATTAAACAAATTGAATAATATTTGTCATTATGATAGGATACGTTCTAATTTTATCTTAGTTAAGATATACATTTGAATGAATTAGTCCTTATTGATAGATTTGAATAGTCTAATGAGAAGACGAAGATTATCAGAACTATATGATGTATTATTTCTAATAATCTGATCACACACATAGTTGTTAAGATCATTTATGTATGGAGAAAAACTGAAGGTCAAGTAGACAAATGAAAAGTATTAGAAAACAAAGATGATAATGAAGAAACTAATGTAAAACAAAAAAACTATGTGAAATTAACCATATTACATAATAAAACAACATTACTGGGGTTGTGAGAGCAAACCGTTTTTGAATACATAAAGAGGTAAGGGTGTTTGAATTTTCATATGATCAAAATTTCAATAAGTCTAACTTTGGCAATGTAAGAGTATGGATGTTTATTATTTATTCTTATTGGGTCATTTAATTTTATTTCAGCAACACAAAATACTTCAGATTCGTTGGCCGAACACTATTAGTAACAAACTACTGTGGAAGAGAAAAAATCAGATCCCAGCAGAGAAAGAAATCAGGAAGAGGTGCTGGAAGTAGAATTGTTTATCATTCATTATACTTTCATTAAACTATAAACTGGATAAATTTTATTGTGATATTAAATAAACAATGTAATATGTAGTCTGTATAGCTGTGTAATGAATATGGTTTAATCAACATCTTTGGACTATACTTTATATAAGTTTTCTTCTACAATAAGTCATTTATATATGTATAACCCATTGTTATGTTCCTATCTTATGAAAACATTTTTCATTGTTTTAACCACATTTTATTTGATGTCATACACAAATTCCTTTATAATCTTCATGTATTTAATATCATTATTGGCTTTACGATTTCCCTATTTACGGTTTTGAAACTTTTAAAGCCTAAACTACCAAAATCATTATAGTTCTTATTCATTAGGATTAAAATGACCAACAAATCAACTCTCTTCTATTTCTATAAATAAAAATAATATATTTGTAATATCCCAATGAGTAGAAAATTGGATTTTCTTACGTTTCGTGACTTAGTGTAAGCCACTTCTTCAGAGAATAAATAACCAAATTAAATCGGCAATAGCGATTCATGCCATTTTCAACAACCACCAAATCGATTTTAAAAATATGAAAATATTGCAAAAAGGCTTTTCCAACTGCAAAGAAAGGAGGGTAGCTGAGGCGTTCCATATAATGCTTAATCCTACTTCTCTCAATAGAAGGGAAGGTCTTACCATACATCCTACTTGGACCATCTATCCTAGCCATTCAGTCTGATCGTATTTGCAATTTCACACTATCATATTACAAATTTAAACTCTATCCTTTCTTACCATAAAGGTCACACAAGTTTTCATTCTTAAACAATGCACATATACATACACACAAATTTACATACATATTATTATTATTATTATTATTATTAATGGCTTTATTCAGTATTATATTTTGGTACAATATAGAATTCTCAGCACAGGGTATCACTTATGAATCACCTTGACAGAAATGACATGACATCAGCTTGTTCAGAGATATTTTTGATTGATCAAATATTATTCTTGCATTGTTCCGTTGTACTATTTAAACTTGGATTAATTTTAATTCTGTTATTTATTCTCTGAAGAAGTAACTTACACTAAGTCACGAAACGTCAGAGAAATCCAATTTTCTACTCATTGGGATATTACAAATATATTATTTTTATTTATAACAATCAACCCAATGCTCAATTTATTCGAAATTATCAAATCAAACCTTGGTAATGACACCTACAATCTCTTCTATTTCGTTTACTCTTATAGGTACAGATTTATTTATATCACTTATGGGTTATCATTTAATGAATTGTTTAGCCTATTATTTTACAGTTTCGTTGTGAAATGTTTTATCTTTGAAGGTTTGTTTCTTAATGTTTAGACTGGTAAGAGTATATCTTATTTATAAGTTTTGCCTTATGTAGAAGACACATGATGAAATGAATTCGTGAGAAAATTCTCAGAGTTCTGGTGAGAAGCCATGATCAGTGGAGCTAATCCGTGTCGGGTAGAAACAGGTATCTACCTCAGTACAATGGAAGATGATCGCGCTACTTCGTGGGTTGGCTGAGGTTAGACATTAACACCACTGGATGCCGACTCAGTGGTCCAGTATGTTAAGTGTTCGCGCTCGACACTGAAGACCCTGGGTTGGAATCCCGCGAGCGCGATCGTGGATTCGCACTGCTGGGAGTCCCACAATAGGACGAAACGGCCGTCCAGTGATTCCTGGTTTTCAGTGGTGGTCTAACATCAATCGGTTTATGATCTCAACCAAAAACCTAACGATCTCCACAACCCCAAAAACTATTAATTTATTTACTTGTTTTTACTTGGAAAACCATCGTTAAGCTTATCCCCTCGAGTTTTAGTAGCTAAGTTTATAAGCATTTGCTTACACATACTTTAGTTGTGATTATAGTTATGTTATATTTGTGGTCGTATAGAACCTTTGTTGAACCAGAGATTCCAATTATTTTTCATATAAACAATCTTATATATTTTAGTGAAGCGGATATTTTTAAAGATCGCGAAAGATTGACTGTTTCAAATTTTGAAAGATACTAGTAACACAGTCAGTATTTTCCCATAGAGGACGTTCATGTTATAAGTGACTTTATTCAACATTATATTTTCGGTATAATGATGAATTCTCAGCACAAAATATTCAACAAGTTTCTTTTCCTTGTTTCTTAATCGATTCTGACGATATATATTGAGTGATCACCAGTTAACTTTTAGCAGTTCAGTAATCAACATCGGAATGACGTTCATTCTTTTCAATGGATATTGCTAGCCACCATGATGTCTGTAATTGTACTTTTTTGTAATCTGTACAGTAAAAGGTCATAAAAGTTTCATCAACACGCCTGAATATGTTATGTGTTTAATGGACATAATGATGTGTTGATGCGAACAAAAGCAGATAATATCTAAATGACAGGAGCAGGTGGCCCATATATTTATATATCACTATAAAAACAAATCCTCGTGAATATACATAGGAAACTGGTTATGGTGCCTTTGTTCAATTCATATTAAATCTTAATACAGTATCATTGGCACTTGATTAAAACTAATAGCTTGAACTATAGCTAACTGTTAGTTCTTTTTCCGTACTTTACTTAGTAAATTACAAGTATTATATCAGGTAAAAACTAACGATTTCTTGAGGCATACGCACAGTATGCAAATATGTCAATACCAGACTGATCAATTGCAGTCTTAAACCTCAATGGAGAGATACAAGCCAAACAATACCAAGTGAATGTTTGAACCTCATTCTGATAATTCAGTTGAACCCAGAAGATAATGTTACTAGCTATAATAAAAATACTGTGATTCATATTATAGTTCGTAAACATGTGCTTGATTTAAGCTAGAAAAAAACTTGTCTTTCTTATATAACGAAACAACGACAACAAGCAGTGATGTGGTGTGTGCTATTTATATTGATATAAGTAGTATATGACGCGAGTTAAATACGTAATTTCTGGCAACAGAAAATGGTAGAAGATCAAGAAAGGAAGAGCGGGAACACAATTCATGAACAATGAAATGTGAGACAATGATTTGATGTTTGCAACAGAAACAGTCCAGGGTGATATGACGGATTGATAATTTGCAAATTGACGATTTACTATATGGTTTTCCTATTTTACCAAGTAACTCTGTAATTTCGTGCTAACTACATCCCTTTGACCTGATCCGTGTTCTGTTCACAACAGTGATATAACATCTGATTGAATATTGATGCTAACCATTCCATACTTCATATGATCATACATCAATGTTATCCTAATTAAAATGTTTAATAATAAATTTTCAATAACAAAGTAGAATCCATATAAAATTTATTATTTAAGTTTATAAAATTGTATCTAAACAGATTAGAAGATAGTATTTTCTTCATTATCGATTAATAATATTATATCTTAAAGGCTGATTTCTTGATATACCGCGTATAACAGAGCACTAGAACACCAAACACCCTCCAAGTTGCAAGAAGAAGACAGAAGACTAACGAAAGAAACGTTATTCCAACTGTGCTCATTAAAGTACAAAATTGTCAGGTATTTATAATTTTTAGTAAGAACGAAATCATCATTACAGTCCACCAATCCGCGTTCATAGGGTTATTAGCATTGACCAATCAGGAGGCTACACATTGGAATTCTAGAATATTCTTCTGAAAGGTGATTGGATGGAATATCTTCGGCTATTTCTGAGCCTCCTACAGCTTCCTCGAGTTCACTTGTGGTCTGTCGTTACAAATAATATAATTAAACTATATTAATCAACAAATCTTCATTTAAACATTTATTCATACTCAACTTGTTTATGAAAACAAACAAACAAGAAAAACAAACGACACATTTACATACTACTTTAAAAATCTGTTAAAATTTACTTATGATCATTGAATAATTTTTTTTCTATAAATTAATTTAATATCATCAAAATATTGATTGATATTGAATTCAATGTCCAATAATCATCATAAATTAATCAATTTCATTTGTATTCTATACTCTTTTTTTTAATTATTTCGTAAAAACTAATTTTTTTTCTTAAATAAAAAAGAAAAGAAAAACAAACAAACATTAAATCTGAAATTCATTGTGAATGTTTTTTTTCATGGGAAAAAACCAAACAAACCACCAAAACAAATTTTTTATTTTTTTAGCAGATTTTTTTATATTTTTATGGAGTAACTACTGTACAGTTATCAGTAATATTATAATGAGGAATTTGCAATGAAATTAGTTGCAAACATACCTTTCCGTGAAAAAGAACAAAAAAAACTACCCAAAAAAGTTTTTTTATTATTTTTTTAAAAAGATTTTTTAAAATTTTTTTATGGAATAACTACTGTACAGCTATCAGTAATATTATAATGGGTAATTTGTAATGAAATTAATTACGAATGTATCTTTTCATGAAAGAACAAAAGAAAAAACCAACAAACAAACTACCAAAAAAAATGTTTTTTTAATTTTTTTAAAAGATTTTTTTAGTTTTTTTTCTATGGAATCACTACTGTACAATTATCAGTAATATTATAATTAGTAATTTGTATAAATGTATCATTATGATAAACACAATAAATACCAAAATAATTTTGTAAATTAATTAATAATCTACATAAAATACTTAAAATAAGAATTAAAAATAAAATTATAATAAAAATAATTCTATTTCTTAAAATAATTTTATTCAATGAATTTTGTTGTTTTATTGATTTTTGATTTTGTTCAATTGGTAAATGATTAAATTGATGATTTTTCTGGGAAATATGAATATCTGCTTATAATAGAAGAAAAAAGAAAAAAGAAAAGAAAAAATGATAGTTTGATTCATTATTATTTTTAATAATACGTTTTGACAAGGTTATAATTTATAGACAAACCAATCAGATTTAGGATATGCGGTTTTGGATTTTGGCGCAATATTCATTCATACATAGAGTTTTGGCACTTTAGTTGATAATAGTTCGTGGTGTAAACTATAAATCTTAAATTCTAACCATTATGATTAACTATAAATCATTGTTTTAATTCTTTAAATTACTTTATAGCATTCGCTTACCACTATTAAGAAGGTAAACATTTTCAAGATCACTTTGGCGTCGCTCAAAGTTCGTTCGTAAATTATAGTCTTACCGTTTATTTTATATTACGTTTAATGTTAGATTGACTAAATTATTGGGTTATTATTTTGTAACGAAAAAGATAATAAAATGTTAATGAAAATTATTGAGTCAATAGATTAAATAGACACAGATATTAGAATTATCCAGTTCTCTAAGTCGAATGATTGAATTATGAAGCTATTATATTGTTGATCTAGACAACATCAACTCTTATTTCATGTAGAAGTATGCTTTGAAGTTATTCCACTAGTTTCAAGTTACTTTGTTCTTTTAACCCTGTTAATAAGTGATTGTAGTCGTAAATTTTGTTGCTTTGCTTTATGCTTGTATTTAACTTGACTATCTTATTTTCACTGATCTCTGAAAAAGGTCAATCAATCATATTATTAGAAGTCAGCGTTAGCTACATTATTGAACCATTAGGCTCAGATGACTGAACAATATCAAAGCATCCATTTGAACTATAAATCTTATCCATCATATTATATGTATATGACTTAGTTTGTTCAAATGAACTAAAGATGAGTACAATAATTTTTTGATAAAACTACAACGAATAGTTGTACATTTCATTACTAGAAAATATAAATTTGATAACAATAATATTATATGATTATTTCCAGAAAGATTTGAAAACACAAGTTAGAAATAATGTCTCCTACAGTAAGTTGAAAATTATGAGTTAGTTACTGTGAGAAATATCGTCCAATGTTGTTTATTATCTAGTACGCTGATTATTAACTACTGTATGAATCAATGGGTTACTGCCAGGAGGTTTGAAGCAGCACTCCAACCCTGAATATTTCATAATAGTGAGGTAAGATCTAGACGTTCTTATATTTTCAGTAAACGATAATTTCTTTTATTCAAAACCGTCGTCATGCCATTGTGTTTTGCGACTTTTGAACAATTTGGTTGTACAATCATATGACATGATTGGACACTAAAAACCTGTAAATCTTTATAGAAGTACCTGCAAAGTGAATTATTTGGTTAACATCTATGACTGCTGACAGTGTTACCCGACCATCTGTTTGATTACCGACACGACTGAACTCAAAAGACTTGCTTTTTGTTGAAACTTAGTGAAATCTCTCCCAAATCTAATGATTTAGCCAGTTTTTAGGTGCTTGGAATGCCAGAATTACTCATCAGATAACGCTTACACTGCACAGAGGATCGACTGAAATTAGAAATTCAGGTCATTTGATAGCGACTCTTCAGTTAAACAATACTGTGTTTAACACAAAACCTCAATGTTCCATGTTCGACTCTACGTGTGGTAGTGACTTGAGGGTTCTGGAAATTGAAATTTTACTGATGATAAAAACTAAAAACATGATATTCCATCAATCGTCTTAATTAAATCAACACCTGAAAATGTAAACGAGCGTTACATTTGCCTAATAAACATACGGTTTCCATAAAAACGACCTATAATGTTGAGAAGTAATTTACAAAACCTATCTCGATAATACCAGGTATTTTTCAGGTTGGGACAAGCGATAACAAGTAGAACGAACTAACTGTATTGACCTTGGAAATTTTATCAGAAATACGAACAAATGCAACATAGTTAACAAACATCCATGTAAACTATTCTTTTCAAAGGTCCTTTTATTAATAAGGCTATCCAAATATTTCTTGAAGACTGTAATTATACTTCTTAAAGAAACAATCGCATACAATTCAATAGTTTTCAAATATATTTAAACAAATTTTCAAATAATCGCGACAATTGCTCTTATCTAGATTGTGTATGACAACTCAATTTATGTAAAGATAAACATGAGTAGTAAGCTTTTTGCAAGTAGTATGTAGTACAAAGGGAAACGAAATACCCATGAAGCGCATCGATGGATAAAATATCCATTTCTAATTATGAAAAAATGGTGAAACTGCTTGCATGCACGACATAATATGACTTGTTGACAGATAAGACGTAAATGTTCATTGATTTAAAATAAATTAAAATGTCGGGAATTCTCAAGAATTTTGGTTCATTATTCTAATTTGACACGATATTGACGAGCGAATTCACCTATCTGTCCAATTGTCTTGACAATTTGTATTTTGTCCCTTCTTCCCCGACTGTTGCTTCTACGACACTAATGAGCTTGGATGATAAGTATTCGGCAGGTAAGAATATTCAGACAATTTCTACTCTTTTATTGCACTATTCATGTGTTGGCAGATATAAGCTTTTTTAATAGTTTAAATAAATTCCAGAATAATGGATTATTCCCTTCAGCCTAATTTACCGCTACAAAGAATATAAGTACAATGTGTAAAAATATTTCATAACACTTGATAAAATAGAAAAACCATGCTGCAATACTTCATTTTCAAAATGTTCATTAATTGTCTCAGACTTCATTGTTCCTACATTTCCATACCAATTTTTCTCAGTTTCAGTTCTTCCCTACTCGATCTTCTCAATTTTCTGCTACCAGACATTCTATTCCTGACTAGCGTTATAGACTAGTTATGTCGATATAAAAAGCACACACCACAGATGCATTTAAAATCCATGGAAACCATTTAACATGCAACGATCATTAAATTATTTATTCTATTAATTATCACATTCATTCTAGAACTGTTGAATGTAAGCATTTGAGAGAATTAACTAGATAAAATGAGTATATACATTTTATGTATTCAGTCATTTTGTGTATTTATAATTTTACCTACCCTCATCAACGTTCACAATCCCAGAAGCAGTAAGTTCACCAAGATTTTTCATAGCCATTTCTGATGATTCATTCTCTACTTTTATTCTTTCTTTAGCCTATAGATACACAGAGAAACAATAAAGTAATAGGACTAATGATCAAAAAACAACAAGCAAACCTTAGCTATAGGAACATTTGGATTATTTCACATAGTTGAGTCTTGACATTTTGAAATATTCGCCATAAATAAGAATGATATGACACCTAATAAGTATGTGTTAGTTCCAATGAGCAGAACAAAATCAATTTACATACAAGTATAATATACAGATCTATTTTTGATTTTGATGATACATTTTTGAAATGCTTAAAACAGATTTGCGAAAAGATCTTACATTACTTCAGTTATCAACATCGATTGGTTATATATCATATTAAAATAATATCCATACAAGTGCTCAAGCAGCTTCTATTCCATTAAAGATTGATCAAACTTTGATATTAAATGTTAACAACGATAGTGACAATATATAGTACTTCCTAAACTTCTAAGTCGCGTATTACATAACTTTTCCTAGTAAATTCTGATCGATATTAATGTATGCCGAAAAAAAAGTAGTATGGAACATCAATCAGAAATAAAATGCTTGTCAAAAGAAGGTTGAGAAGATTTAACTGAATAAAACAGAAAGAAATTATAAAGAAAGTTAGAATTGAAAGAATCATAAAGGATGTAGAGAATAATTGATGGAAGGTTTGCAAATGAAGTATTTAATGTATGGTTTTCACATTTTACGTAAAAACTCTGTAATTTTGCATTTAACAATAAATTGTTTGTTCCCACCTGAGTGTTCGTACACTTTACTTTTAAACGTCAATCAAATACTATTCGTAATAAATAACGTCGTACACAGAAATAAATAATCATCAGTATTTATATCATTTTACAATTCATTCGCAGTTACAATAGAAACGTACAATTCAACTATCCTAATTTCATATCTCACATTCAAAAGTAATAAAGTCAATATGTAGATTATAAGTTTCTCAAATCATCAACTGGCGAAAATGGCAACATTTGTATTTTTTTAGTCAATTGATCACCATGAAAAACCTGGAAACACTGAGAGGCCGTTTCATCCTAGTATGGGACTCCTCAGCAATGTGCATCCACGATCCCGCTCGCGAGATTCGAACTCAGGACCTTGGGTCTCACGCGTGAACGCTTAACCTCTAGTCCACTGAACTGACCGAAATCCAACGGTATTCATGCCAAACTTTAACCGATCTACGAAACCGCACCACCGTTCACCATTGTCTTCAGTGAGCTACAATTTCACAACAGATCCAATAAGAACTCCACCGACGACTCCCTTACTGGGACTCAAACGGCCATTCAGTGCTTCTTGGTTTTCCATGGTGGTCTAGCTTCAATTGACTTAAAAATTCAACTATTAAATTACTAGGACATCCACAAAACCCCTTTCAGATTTGTATTTCTGCTTCTATTTGTGTATTTGATTGATACATTCTGGTGTATCATTAATGTTCTAAATGGAATAAGATGGGTTTTTTTGTTTTGAAAATTAAAGTTATTTTAGAATAATTATCATTATTTATTATTTATTTCTAATCAATTATCATTACATACCAGTTTGATTTGTGTTGTCCAATTTAAACGGAAACATATTATGCATAATGTAGACACTTGTAATGTTGCAGCACTAACGAGACCGACCCAAATACCTGTCACATAACATAAAAAAGTTTATTATATAACAATGTAACGATGATATCTTTTTTTTCCTTTCTAAAGTTAAACAGATAATTAATGTAAATCAGATTGAAAAGGGGGAATAAACAATTCATCGACTGTACTATACACAGATTCAGTCACATTTCATAATGTCAATGCTTACTCATATTTCACTCTCATGTTCTTAACTTACCAATCAATATGCAGTAGAATTTTATTGTTAGAAATGATAGGAAAAAGAAACTAATTTAATTAGTAAACTTTTACTCGTTCATTATACATATATGTTTGATAAATAATGTGCTAGTGGACTGATATTGTTCAATAAATGAAGAGAAATAGGCACACAATCTTGTTAAACGTTGAAACACTAATGCTGTAAATACTTTTCTTTGATTATTTTCTATACTGGATTAACTAGATGTGAACTGATTGTATTGTTATTAGTATAGGGGTATGGAAATTGTTGAGTATTTGATTAAGATTATGATCTATTCATGATTGTATTTTATTTGAATAAGTTATTCATTCTCTATTATTTGATCCTCTATTGTCAGCTGGATATTATATCAGTATTTACCAAATGATCCAGCATAATAATTGAACTGTTTCGTATTGTGATCTAGTGCATTCAGTAATATTATTCAGTCCAAATCTAGTGATCGCATAATTTGATGAACAAGTAGTATTGTCGCATCACTGTATTATATTGTGAAGAAAAAGAAAATACTTTTTGTCTCTATTATATCAGTACTATTTATTGATAAGCTTCATAGTTTAATGATAATTTACTGTGGTATCTAACCAATATTTTACAAAACTTTCCATTAACTACTTTCAGCTCGAATGTACCTATTCTCAAAATCAAAGCGTATTTTTACAGTAAAAGTTGACGAATTTTTTTGTGAAATGCAATTATTGGGACTACTGATAATAAATGCAAATTGTGTTCATTAACATTTTTGTTGGAAATAAACTGATTCTAATCAAGTCCACCATGTATAAAAACTGACTTTAAATACTATGGGTGTGTGATGAATAGTCCTCAATCCTTTGGTGTTATCTACTACGTGTTCAACATAAATAAATTGGGATAAAACTAAGCTGTTATTCGACTTGGTTTGAGTCAGCAGTATTAAACTTTATGCTCAAAGAAAATCTGTGCTCTTGTAATCTTTTGGTTGTTAAAAGACGGCCAAGTAAATGGTTTTTCTAGATTGTCACTTCCAAGTTTGTTTTTATTTGCATGTTTTCTATCCTTTATCTACTTCTAAAGTATATTTAGGCTTTGAGCGCTCACACGATTTGTACAGTAGTATTAAGCAATGGGTAATGTGTATAATGTTTTGATAAGCTGTTTTGTCACCCAAGATTTAACCTAATTGAAATTTTGAGATTTTTTTGTAGCATTATCATAATATCTTCATCTCATTAAAATCACGAACCGACCAATGTTAGAAAACCACTGGAAACTTAGAAGCATTAGACGGCCTCTGTAGGAGGCTTGTCAGAAGTGCAAATCCAAGATTCCGTACTCGGAATTCAAAACCAGCACCTTCGGTCTGGGTCACAATGCTTAACGTACAGACCACAATCTCTACAACCCTAAGTCGGAAAATATCTTCAATATTCATTTCTCTACTATTATCACTACACCCCTTAATATGCAAACAACTTTTATTAACCATCAATTATCGTTATCCACGAGCTGAGCTCATTTGGTTAAGAGCTTTGCATTAAATCATTATGATCGATAATTTCATATGAATGTGAAATTTAAGAATTTTGTATTGGAAATAAATGTTATCCACTTGTATGTTTAGATCACGTTTATAAAATAATACGTTGATATTGTTACTAATATGGGTTGTTTATGGAGATTGTTGAATTTTATAGCATATATCATTGGTTGATCTTAGTAACCACTGAAAATCAGAAAGTACTGAGTGGCTGTTTCGTCCTTGTTATCGAAATCTTTAGTGGTGTACATCACTGGAGTATTAATCTAGTGGTCTAAAAGTTATATGCTCGGCGTAGATCGAAACATTTGTAAACAATATTTAGAAACTATTTAAGTCGTTTTTAAGAAAAATATGGTGCAGTTACCAAGTTAAATTACATTATCCAGTCTCACATCATGCTTCAAATATTTTTTTACACGCATCAATTATTTTTCGAATGTATGGGTTTAAGTGACGAAGAAAAAGATTATAAATATATTCTTCAGTGAAGTTAGATGAGAAATATTCAATGTGGTGTAAAGGTAGATTAATTACTTATGGTCAGTAATGTCCAGTTAGGATTTGAAAAAAAAACTCTGTTCACTTACCGGTCAACCTAAGATTTGCTACATAAACTAGACAAATCCCAAGTGGTACAGCAAGCATGTAAAGACAAAATATGTTTACAACTGCTCCAACTGTTTGTAAACCTGATCCTTTCAAGACACCGCTACATATACCCTTTAAAAGAAATAACAAAAAATATTACGCAAGGTAATCTGGAACTGAAAATTCTAGAATAAATTTAATAATAATAATAATTATAGTAATAATAGTAAAGACTTGTCTGAAGGAAGCCATAATCGAATCCGACATCACTAATGACTTGACATTACGAAGTTTTTTATTACTTTGTGGTTAATTAGTGAAAATATTGCCATCATCCACCATCTAAAAGTAACGACATTAATTCAATCGTTTCTTAAGTGGTTTTTTAGATTTGACTTGTTGATTATGACAGGAATCTTTATATATTTCAGGAGAAATCGTAATCGATGATTTATGATGTTCCTTGCGACAATGTATACTACTGAACATTCATCCAAAGATAGTTGACAACTTACCAAAGGACAAGGGAAATTTTTTGAAAGTACAGAGAAATAACATGACTGTTAAAGTCAACCATGTTAAAAGTGAGACAGTGAACATTAGATTGTATTGGACAATTACTGAATTTTATCAGTAATTGACTGTTGAAACTCATTGTGTTCTACATAAGACCTAAACGTCTTTCGCTTTATCTAGTACGGCAGTAATGGATGCACATAACTGAGTAATTTCAAACTAAGATCAAAAGGTGCCCAATTTTCCTAGCTTTCCATGGATCTTCAACTCGTCTCAGTTTGTGATGAAACATTTCATCAAACTAACTGGATGGTCGACGAAATTCGTCAGTTACATAGAACATAATACTGTATCAATTGAATTGTCGATTACTTGAAATGATATGATTGATGACTAATCAGAAAAACTTGAGTTTATTAAATCAGAGCTCCAGTACAAGAACTTTGAAAATCAAGATGAATTATCGACAAACTGTTAGTTTTATAGAGCAAATATGATACATTTGTATACAAAATGTTTGACATAAAAGAAACATTATATAAGATTTTAGTGTGTTTTAGAAATGAACTTTGTATGTCTCTTACGAGCCCCATAGGATTAAAGTCTGGTTCTCAGGTTTACTGATCATTGTCCATATCAAACCTACCATCTGTTTTAGAAACATTCTCCTACGAATACACAAACAAATTGAATCGCTTCATAAAACAATTAATGGGGCCGAAAAAAGACATTTTACATTTATTTCGAATACTTATTTCTAATTTCTATTACATACAAAAAAAACGCTTACATTCGCACCATCGATAATTTGGAAAAAAGCTATAATTGGCATTAGTTCAGCTACAAGTTCAATGACGCCACTAAAATGAATTAAAAAAGTTACAGTGTAAAAGAAAGAAAAGGAACGGTAACTATTGATTCATTTTTTCAGTAATAATAATCAGTTAGATAATCGATTTTATCATGTACGTTCGGGCAATTAATCGATCAATGTAAGTTATGCAGTGAAAGAATTCAAATTAGGGATTTTGTGTTAAAAACAAATACGTTTATAGGGAAGATTGAATGAAGTAGAAAAACATATTAGCTTTTGCTAATTTGTTCTGAGGTATGGTATTCACATATATGGTAACACAGTTGTTAGGAAACGGGTACTAGGTAAGGATGGCAAAACAATTGATGAAGTAGTGAAACTTCATCAGTTGAGATGGCTGGGACACGTGTTACGTATGCCCAACCACCGACTGCCTCGACATGCTATGTTCAGTGGTATAGGAGTAGGTTGGAAGAAAGCTAGGGGCGGCCAAACCAAAACATGGCACAAGTTCATGAAGTCACTGACAAGTGGACTGAGTCATGTTGGTAGGTGTAGACTACCTGGTTGGGGACCGCGAGATGATAGCAACCGATGGTTAGAGACCCTGAATGACATAGCTCAAAATCGTTTGCAATGGCGCAGGTGCATACACTCTTTGTGTTCTCCCAAATTCTAATCTTCTGAATTCTTCATGTCCCTTTTTTCCTCTTTCCAAATTTATTTCACTGGATTATACTCTTTAAATAACATCTCCAAACCCTAATCTTCCCGATTACTACTTATACTCTTATTACCTCTACCACTACGGCATTTGAATCGACCACTGCATCTCTGTGCTAATGTGGTGTGGCAACTCGAACTGATGTACGTACGTACGAAGTTCTACGTTGTTACTGACTGACTGACTGATATGGTACTGGGAAAAAAATAAATTTGTCGTTATCATAATTAATATTTACAATAATACATTAATTGTGGATTGGTTGAAGTTAGACATTAACACCGTTGGATTTCGGTCAGCTCAGTGGTCTAGAGGTTAGGCGTTCGCGTGCGAGACCGAAGGTCCTGGATTTGAGTCCCGCGAGCGTAACCGTGGATGCGCACTGCTGAGGAGTTCCACGCTAGCACGAAATGACCGTCCAGTACTTCTAGGTTTCTCATGGTGGTCTAGCTTAAATCGACTCATGAATCCAACCATTAAATTAATACACTATTATTCACGTGAAGTTTTTTTATTATTTTTATATGTTTATTAAGAAGAGGTTAGTAGAAAATGTTAAATAAATTTTCTTAGATCAAAAGTGTCCAATAAAATTGATTCATATTTAATCAAGGTCGAAGTTGAAACAGTACAAACGGCCACTGTTTCTCTGTAAACTGCATTTTGTAAACTCATAGTTTATGGGAAGTAATTAGATTTCAGAACAATTGCGGTCTAACAGTCAATATTATACTGATTTACACAACTGTAAATTTGATAACCTTCAGTCTAGAAAAAAGGATCCTTTTGATTATCTCCGGTTTAATTCAATTGTTTGCCCATACTTTCAGTTGTATGTTTGTCGAATGAATAGAAGAATCATGAACGTTTATGGAAAAATGTAAACAAGTATGCAGTTAGATTGGCCGGACAGCGACAATTAAGAATATGGGCTGTATAGTAGATTCAGTAACAGTATTTCGAATAATTAGTAAACCGAATGATTTGAGGATATTGCATTATGCAAAATCAATAAAAGCTAATCGTTTAAATACTCATTCGTCTACTCAAAAAGCTAATTTTTTGAATAATTATTATCCTTCTATCAACAACCTACAACCTTTATAATATTTATCCTGCTAGAACAAATTCAGTTAGTGCACCACTATCTCAACGATTGAATCCAAGAATTTAAATTGTCACAGAGAGCGCTTAACCTCGGAACTACTCAGCCGGTATCCGGTAGTTAACATGTTTAACTTTGATACATTCGCTATACTACGCAATCAATTTTTAATCCTACTGTTTGGTAACAGCTTCATAAACGAATCCTACTAATTACGGTTGATCAGTAGTACTCTTGGAATTACACTCAAACGTAGTTACTTGAGAGCAAATGACAGTTATTTATATAAGGGTTAGTTGAGATTATTAAATGTACCACTGATAAGATTGAATCCGAATAACTGATATAATCCCTAGTGTTTAGTTTCATTTAACACTACTAGTTAAAAATGTCGACTGGTTTTTGACGTATCCAATGGTATTTAGCGCACCACTTTTGTAATTACCATTTTAAATATATATGTAGAAAGTAAAAAAATTCCCATTTAAACACTTACAAAATAACGAGTAGTGAGAAATAAATATCTATTTTTAGTTTACCTGTTATTATTGTCTCTATACTAATACATATATGTTATATAATACAATAAACCAACCATCAATAAGGTGAGGGAAAACCGGTTACTATTAGTGCAAATTCCAAGCAACTTATAAGATCAGAATCGAGTAATTTTGAAAATAATGACTGTTATTAAACATTCCTTTAGAGTTTATCTAATACTATTCAATCAAATTAACGGTTATTAGATGAAGTTGTGTATATTTCGAAAGTTACATTCGACATATGGATTTGTTAGAATTTGACTTTAGGATGGTTATCTCTAACAAACATGTATTGTGCTACAAGATATATCAATTGAAGGTCGTTGAGTACTAATCAAATTTGTTGAGAGTAAGGTATTCCGGAACAGGTACAATATTTAAAATTGCCTACTAGAAAATGCATTCATAAATTTTATGTAACTTATATTAACTATAGAACGTCAGATTAAATCTAAATCTAATTATTAGCAAAGGTTCAGATTATCCTATTGTTGATATTTAAGATTAAATTTCAATCACTCTTTGTTGAGGGTCATGCAGTCTGTGAGAATTTCTCGGATATAACTGTTTTATCAACTCTAATTTAACTAGTTAAAGTTGGTTAGTAATAGAATTCAGGGTCTGCGTTTCCTCCTATTTATAACAGGATCTCTGGATTTTTGAAGCGAAGGATACTGGGTTCAAGTCCCAGAGTGAATATTAATACTGGGTTGCAGATACATCAAGCCGATATGCCTCATATATGACGAGACTCAAGTCTTGAATACCACTGCTAGCCACAATCTACCTACTCTAGAAAAATATGAGTATTTTGTGAACATTTTAAGATGTATATCTTCAAGATTCTGTCCGAGTTAGCCACCTGTACTATTTGGAAATATCATGCTTTTCATTTTTACTGTAATTAATATAGTCTTCTAATTTTTTTTCCTTTCCCATTATTCACTCACACATTATAGTTTATGTTAAATCGATATACACTTTTGCTTATGATAGAATTATCGAAGAAGACTATGCGTATAAGTAATCCAGATATCAAGGGCATTTGACAAAGCGTATTTATTATCTTCCATGATTTATACAAGTCGTTTTTTTCTTTGGATTTACCAGTACAGGCTGTGGAGATTGTTGAGTTTTAATTGAGATCATGAATCGATCAAGGATAAACTACTATTAAAAACCTGAAAGTACTGGATGACTGTTTCATCCTAGTAGGAGACTCGTCAGCTGTGCGCGTCCACGACCCCGAACTTGGGACTTGAACCCAATACCTTGGGTCTCGCACGCGAACGCTTAACCTCTAGACCACTGATATGAACGACATCCAACGGTATTAGTGTCTAACTTCAACCAATCCACGATATTGAGTGACCGTCCACCATTGTCTTCAAACACAGTTGAACTCTACTGGTCACGGCTTTAATTTTTTTAATATGCATGAAAGTAATATTGAATTTATGTTTATTCACGTAGCTTCCTTTACCACTTAAAAACTTTTATTCGTCTCTATTTTTTCATTGTTTATTATAGAAACGAATTAAAGCGATGTAACTTTTTTATCATGATGTAAAGGCTATTTACCATAATCTTCATCTAAACGCTTGAATGATCATGTTTTATTCATTGGAGAAGGTTTTCCGTCTGACTTACTACATAAAGAGATTGCATGCTCTTGGGATTACTCGTCATTTACTCTTACAATTTGTCAATTCCTGCATATTACCTATTATTCTTTACTGTTCTCCATTATTCTTTCCTGGGCTTTTGAAGAAAGATTTTGCTGTATTGCGGAGAGTGCTGAAGGCAGTTACCAAGATGTGTGGTGAATCTTTCGAGGTCATAATTAATATGGTTGTGGATAGACATTTAAAATCATGCAAACTCCTGGCAGGTGTTATTTTATCAGATACTAGCCATCCCCTTCACTCTTATCTTTCTCCTTGTATATCTTCTGGTAGAACGAGACGTAATTACATTAAAATCCATGCACGCAAGCAAAAGTATAAAAGTTCTGATAACATGACCAGGACATCAACGCATTATTGTAGTAGATTATGAAGGTAAAATTGTCAAAAAAGAGGATTGTTTACTTTGAAATATTTTAGAAACGATACTTATCAATATCTAGATAAGTAGTATTAAAATACAGGCGAAACTATAATTATGATCGAGTCAATCAGATATAAGATAACAGGTCATGGGTTTAGGCTCGAAATCCAGTCATCCATTTGATAAATGATGTTTTTCGTGATAAAAACGCTAAATCTTGTTCCTAAGCCTAACCATCAACTGTAAATTATAATTCTCGTTCCCAACACTTTTTTATTAGTAGGTGGACATCCTTAGGTCCACTTTAGCATCGCTCAGAAGTTCTTCATAAATTATAGTCTCATTAAAATACCTTATACCGTTCAACTTATATATATATATATACCAAAAAATTCTATCTCAATTTCATATTATGCAATTAGTTATTTTTATAGATATTCAGATTTATGAAACCCCATTTTAACGAAATTCCATTTTAATTGACTAACAATAAAGAAAAAATCAACAAGTAACAGATTGAACTTACTCATCAGATGTAAAAACTCTTGGTAAATACCATCTTGTAGCAATTAAAATTCCTAAATATGGTAAAGCCCAACAACCTTAAATTTACAACAACAAAAAATTTATTATTAATTATCTGATTAGTAATAATTACTGAAATTATTGACTAATTTCTTTTATCAGTTTAAACTTACCAACTAATGTCATAGCTACACTAAATACAGAATATGGGCCTTTAGCAGATTGAGCACCAAGATATTGTCCTACACGTATCCCTGCTGCACTACCAACACCAAGTGGAAGCTAATAAAACAAAATGGAAATTTTATATAAATTTTTTTTCTCATTTATAAATTGAACTAAACCAAGAATAATTCACATAGTAGAATAACACGAGTATTATGGTTTCTTGTCAGATTGACGAAAAACTGTAAAACTTGATGAATTTGTATTATTTTACTATGTTAATTTGTTCTTGATTTGGTTAGAAAAATAGAACAATGAAAAGTAGTGAATTAACCGAGAGAACTTTTCTATTGTTTTACTTCAAAGTATACAATTAAATGGTTAATTTAATTCATTTGAAGTTATTGAAGTTTTAGTTCATCTTGTAACCATTTATATTTAAATATACATTTTTATCATAGACTAGTATAAGGGGAATCAGTATTATAAATCAAGTCAAAGTGAACTATTAGTTTCTACTTATGTAAAATTACTCAGAAATATACAAGTACAAATCCGTTGAAAAATCTAACACAAGATCATGATTAATTGTAGTGAACAGGACGTGGATGGGGATAATCGAATGTACTTGACACAGAATTACAAGACTTGCTAATGAAATCTATCATAAAGTAAATACGTAATTTGCAAAATGTCTATCAATTGTCTCAAAATGACTCAGATTTCATTGTTCTTGCATTTTCATACATACTGCATTCTGTTTCCACTCTTTACTGTTCGATCCTTTTGTCTCTCTGCTGCCAGACCTTCTGTTCACGACTACATTATACACTACTTATATCAATATAAGTAGAAGACACCATAATATCACGATAACTAAACGTCTGGGATAATGATATCAAAAATTTTGATTGCGTGTTATTCAGTGTTACACTTATGAAAAAGGAAATTCCCCTGTTTATTCATCCTTTAAAAGCACATGAAGAAGAAATACTTCATTATTTAGCCTTTTAAAATAAACAACTTATAAGAACTACGTATTTGTAACGTGCGTGAAAATCTTTGATTTTAAGGAAGGTGTACATAAATAAGATGAGGTTTCTCCAAAAACAATCGAACGAATACTGAGTAATATTTTCATATAAATCTCAGCGGTAACACTTAATCATTGAGACTAAAATATTTCATCTCATTTATTTTGGGAATCCTTTCTAAGAGGGTCCCTCCATTGTTTCTGATAGGTTGATTTCAAAGTGATCTACCCCTTTAAACTCTGTAATGAAACACATTAGTTTAATGAATGACGCTGTGAAATTTAAAGAATCTTTTGTCTATTATGAACTGCATAACATCAGCATTAGTGTATAAAGGTAAATAGATGATAGCTCGCAAATAGACAAAGATGTATCGTATGATTGACATTCTTACTTATCACTACATGAAATCATGCCAAAATGTGTTATATGGTTTGATCTTAAAAAAAATTTTAAATCACTTTTGAACTCTAGTAAAACCTTTATTTATATTTTGATATATATATATATATATATATATATATATATATATATATATATATATATATATATATATATATATATATGGTTTGAATAAAATTGCCACAATTTTAAGGTACCTGAAAGATATTGCCACCAAGGGAACATTAAAAAGAAACTAATAATATAAATACAACATAAACAAATGTGAATATAAATACCGACTTAGATTATGTATGATGATTCCATGAAAACAACTGTATAAATTTGGTTGGCTAGACAACGTAAACTAACATTTGAGATAAGTGTAGTTTCATACATACATATATAATTAATGTTCTACTATTATTTAAGTTTTGCATAAATTTTTACCTAGTGATAAGAAATCTGTTTAACTATATGCCATTTGATTTTCTTAGTAACAGTTCAAATATTCAAATGAGATAAACCGATATTTTGTTGGAAAGTGTTGGTTATATGAGAGTTAGAAAAATTTATTTTAAAAAAACAAACAGTTTTTGTTGCGAAGTAGAATTAATTTTCAAAACTACTGATAACCAGCGACATTTATTATTTAAACCAAATATATGGATGAATATGATAGTAATGATAACAAACTACTAAATAGTATTCGTTAATGAAGATTATTTTCTTTTAACTTTTAGTTCATTTAAATATTTAGTGGCCTAACACCTGACTCCAAGTAGATCGTATGAATGATTGTTATTGAATGATTGCTGTCGAAATGTATATGTCGCATCTCCTTGTATATAATCATCGACTTCAATCGTTTTAGTCAATAACGGAATTAAATAAGTCAAATACGAGGATGAATTTCGAATACGTATATTTCATACAATCTTTGATCCAGACAAAATATCGGAGAAGTAAATGGAATAGATTGAAGCGAAACGATACGGCGGATAAACCAACTCCATTTGGTCAAGCGTCACACATAAATAAGCTACAGACATGTGATGAATAGGATTAGAATGTACACAAACATACACTCATATAAAAACAGTCAAAGTTGATAAGCGAATATTTAACAAGGTCGAATTGTGACTCAACTAGAATGAATGAATTGGCCTGTCCGAAAGCTAGAATACGATTTATGGGCTTAACATATCAACCGACACTACAAACACTTGACTAAGAATTTTAAAATTATTTTCGAATTAATTTTATGTTGAACTTACCAAAGTATAGCTAATAGATCCAATAGATAGAATAATAGTTTGTGCAGCAAGTTCACGAGCTCCCAAAGTCCCTAAAATATAAAAAAACACCATTGGAATAAGTATAACACTTCTATAGTCTGTTTTTGCTGTATGTAGTACAGCGAATAAAACTGGGAGATTGCAAATTGTTCATCAAGTATTTCTTTATTGAGTAAAAATTCAGGTTTTTTTGTTTGTGTATCAACCCAGCAAAATATGACCTATCATTTGAAACTCTATTATTTATGTACAATTAAATCTATAATCTGTTCATTAGAGGTTTGCTTTTAAAGACTCAGTAGCTAAATCTATAATGCGATGGTATTTAAAGCGAACGGTAATTGGTTTGAGTCCTGGAGTGATCAACTCTGGGATGCAAGCACATACATCTGATGAGTTCTAAATAGGACGAGACGCTCATTATGAATTCCAATGCTAGCCACCATCCATCTTTGCTTATAGTACTTGTGAATTAAAGCAATATTGAGGAAATGCGCACATTATACACATATGCCAATAAGTGACCAATCAATCGCAGTCCTAATCATCAATGGAAATATTCAAATAAACAATACAAAGTGAATTTAAAAAAATAAAACTGTTTTTACTCCAGTTTCAATAGGAGCCTTAATCTCACTTCGAAGTAATAATATTCAAGGTTTTCTTAAATCATATTTAGTTAAACCTTATTACTTTTCTCATTCAGATAAGTTTTACCAAGATAATGAATCTGTTGATTTAGATCAGTATCACTTTGAAATAAAGTCCAAATTACTTCAGTATATTTCAATTTTTAAAAATATTAGTAAAAAGCAATTATGCTGATCATTTGGAACATTCTATAACTAATAATAGGCATTTATTTTTTATATCCCAATGAGTAGTAAAATGGTATTTCTGACGTTTCGTGACATAGTATAAGCTACTTCTTCAGAGTAATTAAATAACTGAATTAAATTAACACAAGTTTATATAGTACAAAGAAAACTATCAAGTACAACCTTGACATTGATTCCTACACAATGTAATTACGATTGTTGGGAGTTTAAAATATCAAAGACGAGATAACACAAATTAAAACTGATCAGTTCCTATTGCTATTTGTGAATTCTAAGTGGATTTCTCCTTTATAGCGTTTTATCAGACATTTTTAGTGTAATTGATATATAATTGGAGGTAGAAACCAGGAAGCAAACTTTATACCTTTTTAAATTTGCCAGCTGAATGTACCCATCTACTGTATATAATAAAACTATGTGACTAGTTTGAAAAATGCAAATTTTAAAGCATCGTGAACATACTACTGAAGGATGTCAGGTTAAATATCGCTGAATTCACTGTACTACATTATATAAATATATATATACCAAAGTTACTTCGTGGATTTGCCAGGCTAATTATGAATTTTATACTCTATATTCCTATATATCATCCAGCTACTGAACTCTTAGTATCAATGACCTTCAATACAAGGTACTGAATTAGTAAAATGATAGCCAACAATTAATCATAACAATAATCACTAATAAAGCTAATTACAAACCACAAAATGCTAATTCTAAAATTAACTCCCTCAATATTCGAATTTTTCCGTGCATCCAACCCAGATAGTATCATTTTTTAAATTTATATACTGATGTAATAAGAAACACAATCAATTCATCAACGGAGCATTTCATTTACTATGGAATAACAGTTTTAATGATTTCGCTAGTAAAAGATTTATTTCATCATCTCGATGAAAGCGAATAACTTGTTTAAATTTACAATCAATCTGTATGAATAACTAATTGAATACTATTTATTTGTTTAAACACATAAACATTGGTACAAGAAGGCATCAAATAGATATGTGCTACATAAATCATTCGATATGTGTAGAATCTGGGATACTGCTTAGGTGCCCAAACCGAAGCAGGTGGTTTTCTTAGGAGGCCACACCCGAAGCCTTCGACCTAAAGGTCTAATCCATGAGGCAGTGGAACAATGTCAGGAGATGCAGTCTCATGGTAGCCGATCACTAATAATTGGTCCATACGCCATTTGTTTCCTTGGAGTCCTGGAGCCCATGTACACCATTGGTTTGGAATCAGGATTTTCCAACTCTCCTAGGTGAACCCTTCGTATCCACCAACCCAGTTAAAGCGCCGAAAATTTGCTTTTGGTCCTCTCATTTTCGTAAACAACAGTAATGCTGTGAGTAAGAGTTCCATGACAGTGGTTGTATGCACGTGGCCATGTGAGAGCAATTCGAGAGAGAGAGCGGACTCTCCTCACTCTCGACTGTACCAGGGAATTTGGGAGCCTGGAAGTACCTGGAAGAACCCACACCAATGAAACTTGAATACAGAAACTTTTCGTTGACATTCTATTACTTTCTTTTTAGATTCATACATTGTCTTTTAAAGCAACTTTACCCTCTCAACATTACATCTACATAAATCTATATTGTATGTTTCTATTATACAACGATATTATTTTAAAGTAGACTTTTCAATTATCTTACCAGCGATAAAACCACCAATTTCATAAATTGTCCATTCAAGACTAACCATAATTAAACCAGGTATAGCTAAACGGAACCATGTATTCCAATCTTCCCAAATTTCTCTTGTAAATTCTGGAGAAAAAAAAAGTATGAAAAACAAAAGTATGTTATTAAATAATTTTGATAGACGACAAAGTGTAATATGTCACCAAAGCGAATTGAAGCCTATCAATTACTTTTCACATAGAATGATAACAGAGCTATATTTATCTACTACTAATTACAAGTATACAGTTATGAGCTCTAAAGTTTAAAATATGAACATAAGTAAATTAGCATTTTTCATAAATACTTAGACACTATCCAACATAACGTCTATCAAAATATTAGGATTAAAATAATGTAGACCATTTAACTAAACTATACTGCTTAATGATATATATGTATCAGCTGGATTGCTCATTTGAATGGGTACTCCGGTCGTTATAGTGTGAAGAAGGCTTACATAGGCATTTAACTTACATATAACCGTTACAAAAGTGTAAATTCGATATATATTCGATAATTCATTTTGTGATCAGAATGGGGGTTTGTGGACATTGCAGTTATTTTAATAACTGAATTCATGAATCAATGTAAGCTTAACCACTACTAAAAACCTGGTAGTACTGGACGGTCGTTTCGTCCTGGTATGGAACTCCGCAGAAATGCGCATTCACAAACCTGTCCCAAAGGGACTCGAACTCAGGACTTTAGGTCTCTTGTACGAATAATTAACCTCAAGAAGACTGAGCTGACCGGCATCCAATGTTGTTAATATCTAGCTTCAATCGGTTCACGATCTTACACAACACTTCATCCATTGTCTGAGGTGGACAACTCTTAAGCGTATGCACGCGAAACCAAAGAACTTGAATTCGAATCTCACACGCGGGATCGTGGCTGTGTACTACTCAAGAGTCCCATACTAGAACAGAACAGCCATCCAGTTATTGCAGGTTTTCAATAATGGTTCAGTTTACATCGACTCATGAATCCGACTACTGAAATTCAATTTGTAACTAAGATAATTTTGCGTGATCTATTCATTGAATGTCCTAAGAATTAAATCTAAAAATTATATCTGGTAAACATTCAGGATGAACACGTTTTCATAAACTTAACATATTCCCATTCATGAGTAGTACAATGTTGCACTGATTAATTCAGTTAAATATCTGTTCAAAAAGATGATGTAAAAGCACCAACTTTACCTAAAAAAAATCAGGATTACTTTAATATCCTGGTTTTGGCTTAAGATAAGTAGGGAATATCTTTGGTAGGTAAGTTATATTTTAGCGAGAAAAAAAAACAGTGCACTGCTGGATATTTTTAAGGTCACAAAATGAAACAAAATTTATAGTAATAATGACAAATCGTACCACTAACATAACATTATCAATGAAGTTTGTAGATATCGCATGATAGATAAGCAGACTCACTTGTTTAACAGATGAATGATTAAATAAACACTTACAGTAAGGTAAACAGTAAAATAATATACAAATATAATCATACATCAGTTCTGTTAGCTTAAAGACTTTACCACAAAAGTATTGGTTTCAGTGACTATTCTGTAACCAGTTATTATATACTCAAGCGTTATGTTCTTTAACTTTTCACATTACAAGAGTTTTGTAATAAGTAGTAACAGTTGTAACTTATACGATTACTAATTTCATGAATAAATATAGTGCAACACTATTTATCGATAATAATAATCAATTGCAAAAAAAAAATAATTGACCACTAGTTTCCAAATCAATCAATCGATAACTATCGATCAAGGTACTAAATATAAACGTTCTGAATGTAAACTATTAAGAAGACAAAAATTTAGACAAAACAATTATTCATTACTTCTTGATTTTCAACAATTCTTTTAGTGAATATCATTATATAATGAAAAATGTGTTTAAAGATAGTACATTTACTTCAAATTATCATTCTATTTAAAAGTAAGTTATACCTACAATTTTAGTTTAAATTGTTCCATAAATTTTAGACTTCCTAGTTGTGTTTTTTTCTTTCCCCTCTTTTTTTATTTAGAAAAAAACAGTGGATCGTAGCAAAATGAGAAATTGGAGGATGAAAAGAATTGGGTGCATTTTTTTTCTCTTCATATTCCACGAAGTGCAAATGACTGACAACTATAATCATCAGTAGATAGACGTGTACATATATATATATATATATATATATATATATATATATATATATATATATATATATATATATAACTTATTTTATTGTAAACTATAGATAACTACTAAATAATGATGAAGAAGAAGAGGAAGAAAAAGAAGAAACAGATGGATAGGCATAGTTTTCTGTTTGTATTGACATAATAACTATAAACGTCTATAAATCATTTTCACATTTTTTAATCAACCTAAATATTTTTATATAATAATTATTGGTTCAAGTCATTATTCATAAAGATGTCTTGGAGTGAACATCAACTCTGGGATGCAGGCACATACATCTGATGAGTTCTAAATAGGACAAGACGCTCATTATGGATTTCAATGCTAACCACCATCCATCTTTGCTTATAATGCTTGTGAATTAAGGCAATGTGCCCAGTATACATATATCCCCATAAGAGATCGATCAACTGTTTAAATTACTACAATCTCCACAAAACCCCTTCTGATACTAATCAACATATGCTCACTAGTGACTGGCTTCAAGATATATATCCTGGAGTTCTAGTGAGAAGCAGTGACCAGTGGAGTTCAACCGAGTCAGTTGTGAGGTAGTAAGTCACTGATGACAGTGGTGGATGTGTCGCTCAATTTTGTGGATTAGTTGAAGTTAACCATTAACATCAGTGGATGCCGGCTCACTGGTCTAGTTGGTTAAGCGGGACTGATGGGTCCTGGGTTCGAATCCCGCTAGGCGGGGTCGTGGATGTGCACTGCTGAGGAGTCCCACACTAGAACGGAACGGTCGTCCAGTGCTTCCAGGTGGTCTAGCTTCAACTGACTCATGATATCAACTGTTTAAAATTATAATTCCTGGACGACCTTTGAACAATGTTGAAAAGACCTTCAAACACTTCTCCTATTTACTAGGATCAAAAGAGGGTTATAAATTATTATTATTATTGGAAAATTAGGATAAGGATTTCGAATTGGAATTTAAGGTTAAGAATTAAAGTAAAAATTTTCATCATGAACTAATATCATCTATAATGTCAAAATGCTATTTAACTAAACAGATAAATGAAATTTACGGCAAAATCCAAGAGTTTCTATCCTTAATTTTATAAATTTGTCTATATATTTTTTTCTTATCCAATATTTCAATAATGATCAGTTTTCTTGTTAATCTTTTTTAATCATCCTTTAAAAATCAATTAGCTTAAATTTAAATAAATGATCCGATAGTTTCAAATATCAGAAGGAGCTTTGTGGATATTATAGTAATTGTTAATAGTTGAGATCATGAGTCAGTTGAAACTAGACCACCAGGGAAAACCTGGAAGCACTGGACGACCGTTTCATACTATTGTGAAACTCCTCAGCAGTGCGCATTCACGATCCCGTATTTGGGATACAAACCCAAAAACTATCAGTAGTGACTGGTATTTTCTGGAGTTCTAGTAAGAGGCAGTGTCCATTGTAGTTCAACCGGGTCTATTGTGATATAGTAACTCACTGAAGACAATGGTGTATGTGTCATTCACTTTCATGGATTGACTGAAGTTAGACATTAACACCGTAGGATATCGGCTCGGTGGTCTAGAGGTTAAGCGTTCACGCGCGACACCGTTAGGTCTTCCGTTCAAGCCCCGCGAGCGATATCGTGGATATACGCTTCTGAGGAGTTCCACAATAAAATGAAATGGCCGTCCAGTACTTCCAGATTTTTCATAATGGTCTAGCTTCAATTCAGTTATGAGTTCATTAGATTTCATCGTCTGGTCATTACTTTTCTTATCATACTACTTATTTTATTGAAAAGAAAAAAATTACTATGAAACTTAACATAGGTTGATAAAATTAAAAGTAGTATAAAAAAATATGAAAGGAAGAAAATTAAATCTAGGTTGTAAAATAAATGAATATTTTAATTATAAATGTACGATGGAGAATTTTAATTGACTGTGGAAGGTGTTATGTTGTTCTTTTTTTTAATTATTAAACATTTTTCTAACTAAGAATAAATTAGTTAATTAGTCAACTTAATAGTTCTCAAATAGAAATAGAATAAATTTGTATCAATTTTAAGTGATATGGAGAGTCAATCAGTAGTAGCAAAAGGTCAGTCGATGGCTGTCAGAAGTGACCTAAAGGTTAGCTGTATTTCATTGGTATCAATGTGTCAATTTCCTGAGGATGAAGTGGTATGTATATGAATGAGTATTTGTTTCATTTAGTAGTCCAATACATTTGCCCTCTCACTCTTGTGTTCTCTCTCATATAGTCAGTGAGCGTAGCACACTTTGTATCAGTATCAGACTTCGGACACTACACGTCACAACATTAATTCATGTAGGTTCACTTTGCATTGTTTATTTGAATCATCCTATTGCACAAGTTAATGGCTATCAGGACTCAAACATAATGGTGTTTGGAGCGAATGGTACTGGATTGGAGTCCCTGAATGAACATCAACTCTAGGATGCAGGCACATCCAGCTAACAAGTCCCAAATAGGACGAGACGCGCTTTCTAAATTCCACTGCTAGCCACTACTCATTTTGGTTAATAAGATATACTGTTTTGAGTGTTATCATAACAGCCTTTCTTTACAAGAAAAACATACAAGTCTAATTAGGATTCAATGGTAATTAGATATTTATACATAGATATTCATATTACAAACCATTTACTAGTGATTGTGGGGTCAAAAAACTTAAACAATCTAATTAGAGAAAAATATGTTAAAAATATCGTGATTGCTAGTTAATATTATGTGCAGTACTGTTTAAAGTAGAATGCTAAAATGAAACTCTACCGAGAAATCTTTATGAATGTCGCAGTTCATGACTGTTTCAATGTTAAAATCGCTGAACTTTATAAATTTGGGAACTTATCATAGACTAAGTCTTTAGTGGCTGATATGACATTACTGTGGATTAGTTAAAGTTAGATGTTTCTGACAGTAGACATTAACTCAGTAGTTCTAACAATTAAATGCTTACACAAGACATAAGTTCTAGAATCAGTCACCGTTGAATTCGCGGGTGGTCACTAGTGAGCAATATCAAACTACAATAAAATATTGATCCAATTATCTTCTTTAGCTTATAATAGGACCAAAACTATGATCAATCTGTGATGAATACCAATAACAGGATGTAATCAATTTGTGTTTTTTTTATTTTCATTTTGACGCAGTTATAATCATCGATGATTATAACCTCATCTCTTTCCGCATCGGAAGTCCATTTTAACACATGATTATTCACTAATCTTAACTAATAACTTGCTTTCATATTTTCTGTTTAATTCTTGTTTTTCCTAATTTCTGTCCTATTTTAAACATTATTCAACAAAGAAGGTTTAAACTATGTTAGTTACTTAAAGCTATTTGTAATTGATGAACAGATTGAAAATAGAATGAAATGTAAATCATATTTTTATTTTTTATTTTGATACTGAATATGTTACTTATTATACTGCAATAATTCAGTAGTAAAAACACTTATGTATAAATTATGTATGATATTAACAATAATTGACCTAACTAATAACAGTAATAATAAGTAATTCGACATTTGAATATCACCTAATTTCTTTCTCTTTTTAATGACTTACTAAAGTTGGTATCTTTTGAATGACCTATGAATATGATGTAAACAATAAAGCATATTACTTGAAAAAAATATGCTGTTGCTTGAGATATTGGTGAAGCTCTAAAATTTGTAACAACAAAAAAAAGAGAATAAAGAAATAAATCCAATTAGATAAGTTTAACAATATTCATCAACATCAATCATATTTTTCTTTAATAAATTCAAAAGTAAATTCAGCCAGTCAGTCAGTAGGAACGTAGAACTTCGTACGTACATACATCAATTCGAGTTGCCATACCACATTAGCACAGAGATGCAGTTGTCGATTCAAATCACGTAGTGGTAGATGTAGTAAGAGTATAAGAAGTAATCGGAAACACTAGGGTTTGAAGATGTTATTCAAGGAGTATAATCCAGTGAAATAAATTTGGAAAGAGGAAAAAAGGACATGAAGAAATCAGAAGATTAGAATTTGGGAGAACACAGAGAGTGGATGCACCTGCGCCATTGCAAACGATTTTGAGCCATGTAATTCAAGGTCTCTAACCATCGGTTGCTATCGTCTCGCGAATCCCAACCAGGTAGTGTCTACACCTACCAACATAGGTCAGTCCACTTGTCAGTGACCTCATGGACGTGTGCCGGGTTTTGTTCTGCCCGCCCCTAGGTTCTTCCAACCTACTCCTATACCACTGAACACCGCAAGTCGGGGCAGTCGGTCGTTGGGCATACGTAGCAGGTGTCCCAGCCATCTCAACTGATGAAGTTTCACTACTTCATCAATGGATTTGCCATCCTTACCTAGTACCCGTTTCCTAACAACTGCGTTACTTACTCGATGGTCCCAGGATATACAAGAAATATTTCGAAGACACCTATGATCGAATACTAGTAACCTACGAATATCCTCTACTCTTACCGGCCATGTTTCACTACCATAAAGTAGGACGGAACGAACTGCTGCGCAGTAAACCCGTCATTTGGTTGATAGACGGATATCTCGCCTACGCCATAAATGACGCAAGTTGGCAAAAGCTAGTCGAGCCTTCTGTATCCGTACTGAGGTTTCGTCACACACTAGACCACATGTAAAGTAAATTGAAGTTATCAACTGCTAATGATGAGTTCAAAGTTTAATTGATTAACGATTTATTTTGGTAATTTCAATAGTTAAAATCATGAGTCGATTAAAGCTAGATCACCATGGAAAATCTGGAAGCACTGGACTGCTGTTTCGTCCTAGTGTGGGACTCTTCAACGGTGCACTGAATAATCGAATAATCCATCTTTTTAATTTATCACTTGAGCATACTTGTTGTATTATTCCAACAGATTTTACTTATAATTTAGTTAAACACGAGACTACTTAATGGTACATTTCTTTTTTGTTTGGAAAAAATACAGGAAATTACTACACAATAATGTTTTTACGTACATAGCTAATTCGTTTACCTTACATCCATATTCATTATATAAATCAGTATATAATGCATTAATGCATTGATACCATTCACAAAAATCATTATAACTAATGGAGCATATACATGATTCTGTAGGAAAGAGAAAAAAAACAAAAACCACGATTAGAATAGCGTCAAAAAATCTTCTTTATGTTACCAGAAAATTTGTTAGAATAAGGTGAATAGAAAGAACTCATATATGTCAATTATACTAATACACAATGGATCGACAAATATATAAGTGCTATTGTGGTGTTTTACTACTGATGTCGACAGAAATGAATAGTGTGTATGATTAGTCGAAAGTGAAATGTCTAAAAACAGAAGGTTAAGATGACTGAATAAAAGAGCAAGAGAATAGAGAATGATTGGTACGAAAACGAAAGAACAATAGAGTCTGAGACAATTGATTGACATTTTGCAAATGAATTATTTACTGTATGATCCTCAAATTTTACAAAGATATTCTGTAATTTTGTATTGAACTACATTTGGTTGTCCCCATTTATGTTCTCGTTCACTATAGTATGAATAATCACCTTCAACGTCAAATTTACTAAACATTTGATATTGTTACTCTTTGCTGAGATTATTAACATAGTAAGTAAACACTAAGGCACATCTCACATGTAGAATTATTTTCTAATTTCTATGGGATTAAAATAATAAGCCCATATTTTTTTCACGTGTACGTCTTATCAACAAACTTCACGATAGTGTTAACATGTAGAATAAAAAGGGGTAGGATTAAATTGAAAAGATTTTTCTCATATTTCATGTTTATGATTAAACTTGCCTACAGGCATTCTGGTAGACTAGTATACATAAACAAAATATATTCCGAATATCATGTGTTGTAGCGAAGTTTGAAATTGTTACAATGTGTGAACAAGATTTTCATATCCCTTCTATCATTTTTTAATTCCATCAGGTTAGTTAGTTAGTAGATGGAAATCCTTGTGGTATGAATAATTGCTGAGTTATAATTTTCTATCACGTAACCTAACCCGTTGTGGTTTTATTTATTATATTTATTATTATTGATTGATAACATAAACCTATTAGTATCAGAAGGGGTTTTGTGGAGATCGTAGTAATTTCAATAGTTGAAATCATGAGTCATTTAAAGCTAGACCACCATGGAAAACCTGGAAGCACTGGACGGCTGTTTCGTTCTATTGTGAGACTCCTCAGCAGTGCGCATTCACGCCCCGTCTGAAATTCTTTTTTCTGTAACAGAATTTTCTCACTAATATAATAGCAAATCAATCATTCCCGTTATAATACCTGTATTTCATACTTATAAAGAAAACTTACATATTTGTAATTCAGGTTGTATACGTCGACGCTAAATATCTACCGATTCCATGTCAGGTGACAGTTTAGAAGCCTTTGTAAACGGCCAGTGTGTAAACAATTTGGATTAAACAGAAGGAAGTTCAAGATCTAAATTTTGTTTATTCGCCTGGATAGCTCAGTGGTAGTATTATATACAGAATAGCCAGAAAACTAACTACAGGATAACAAATGACCTGTGCTAACTAACATAAATCCCTAGTCAAAAGCATCCTCTGGATATCTTACAACTGCCCAACACCAGAATAAAGCTAATTACAACACTGAACCACTAACGCCAATGGTTTGATTAAAACTTGACCGAACAGTATAGATCACCATTTGAAATTAGTCAACACTAAACTGACTACTACTCAGTATTCAGCTAGAAAAGAATAATTCTGAACCACAAGGAACAACAGTCCTATGATTTCGAACGCTGAAGAGACTGAAGTTTAATCTTTAAGAATAATGTTACGCAGATCACTAGATGAATTTATATTCGTATATAACAATGATAAATAGATAAGCGGAATAGAAATAATCGCCTAACGGAAAACTTCATAATAAGTTAAACTCTAGTAAAATCATATGAATACTGAACTACAAACTGTTACATAAATGTGTAAAATTGAAGAAATAGAACAAATAAAGGTGATCCATTATAAAATTCAATTTTCTAGATATAGCTTATTTTATTTTATTTACTGTTTCCATTCTTCAAACAAACACTTTACAATGGATACGATTAAAACTTAATCTCAGTTAACCTAAGGCTTAATTTATCTCTCTCATTATATTTTGTGACTTAAATGAATATTATCAGTATAAGAATTTGTGGAGATTATAGCAATTTTTAACAGTTGAATTCATGAGTTGATCTATGTTAGATGAGATTTTCAATGGTGATCAAGCTTAAACTCCGCCTGTAGCTCTTCTAGAGTTACTGCCGGTCTCAAGCCCGGGTAAAGGAGGAGGGTTAGTCATGGGGTTAGCGTCCACATCCCGTAGAAAACTAACTCGCTAAAAAGCGCTTACCAGAAAAAACTCAAACCATTTTAACTCTGCCCTGGGAGTTAGAAGGTCTTCATTTAGAAGAATCATGACGCTTCATGGTGAAAGCCGAGTTCCTTCGGAAGCCACAAGGCCGATGCCTCTTCTAACAACCAGAGCAAACATTTTTGTAGGTACATGGAATGTGCGAACAATGTGGGAGACCGGGAAGACCAGTCAAATAGCAACGGAAAAGGATGAATAACAACTGGAAGGAGCTGGAAAGGATTGTCCAGGACAGGGTTGGATGGAGAATGCTGGTGAGCGGCCTATGCTCCTTCACGAGGAGTAACAGGCGTAAGTAAGTAAGTAAGATCAAGCTTAGATCTATTAATGAATTCAACCGTTAAATACATGTATCAAATAAATAAATAATGCCATTAAAAAAATTGATAACAACAAACAAATTTGTAAAATATAAATTTCATCGTGAAATCATTTGGGATCATTTATTATGGTGAAACATAAAAGTAATTATAAGCAAAGATGGATAGTGGCCAGCAATGGAATCCAGAACGCGCGTTTCGTCCTATTTGGAACGCTTCAGATGGATGTACCTTCATTATGGAGTGGATACTCACCCTGGGACTCAAACCCAGTACCATTTGCTACAAACGCCATCGCATTATCCATTTAGCCACTTGCTTGTGTAATGGGGTGAAGTTTAAATTCACTTTGTATTGTCTGCTTGAATTTTCCCATTGATGTTTAGGACTGCAATTGATCAGTCTCTTATTGGCATACGGGTATCCAGTACGAATTGCTTCAATATTGCTTTAATTCACAAGCATTATAAATAGAACGAAACACATGTCCTGGATTTCATTGCTATGTACTATCCATCTTTGCTCATAACTATTCTGAATTAGGGCAATACCAAGGCGATACGCACAGGATGCCCATATGCTAATAAGAAACTGATCAACTGCAGTCATAATCATCATTGAGAGGATTCAAGGGAACATAACCAAATGAATAAAAGTAATTAGATCAAATGAAAATTGAATATGATTCCGAATAATATTAGAATAAATTTTGTCAGTTAATATATATATATTAGGTATAAAAAACAACAACAACAACTTTGAACATACTTGTGTTTGAACAAACCTGATAAATAATTGTCCAAGTGAACTAAACTATAACAAAAGTGATCTGGATAATTATACATTTTTACAACTTACAAGTAATCCCGGTATAAGATAAAGCAACAATTCACCAGTTCCCCTATGCGATAAAAAATATTTGAAAAAATAAATTTTTAATTATTATGTACTAAAATAAGAATTATGTTTCTGAAGCCGTGACCAGTGGAGCTAATCCGTGTCGGGTAGAAACAAGTACAATGGAAGATGGTCGCGCAATTTCGTGGATTGGTTGAGGCTAGATATTAACACCATTGGACGCCAGCTCAGTGGTCTAGTTGGTAAGCGCCTGGCGCAAGATTGATACGTCCTGGGTTCGAATCTCGCGGAGTGCGGGATCGTGGGTGCGCACTGCTGGGGAGTCTCATACTAGGACGAAACGGCTGTCCAGTGCTTCCAAGTTTTCCATGGTGGTCTAGCTTCAACTGATTCATGATTTCAATCAAAAACTTAACAATCTCCACAACCCCTAAACTGATAATTATGTTTCTAAAAGAAAATTAAAATAGATATTTGGAGACCCATAATATTTTATTGATACATAAATTGTTATGGTAATATATAAAGTTATGCTTCTCACTTATTTGTATAATTAGTATTCATAATAGATAGACACTGTGACATTTTGAAGAGGTGAATGCTAAAAACTAAGCTGTTCGATACCGCCCCCCAAAAGAAAAGAATAGAGATCATCTAGTTTCTTTGAATAAACCAGTGTTCTCTTAATATTTACATTCGCCCATTTTCAAACAACTTGGCAGATTGACTACGCAGTTGTTTGTGTTTCCTTCCACGGGTGGTTTCGAGATCTTGATTAGCTTATTCTTTAGGGTGCTTTTTTGTTCTCTGTATCGTTTGCATGATATCTCAATGGCTGTTGTCAAGATTTCCAAATGGTCTGACGTGAGTGTCCTTTGTAGCTTCATCTTTTGAACCTCTTTGACGTGTTGGTATTTGAGGGTTCTATAACATGCATCTGTTATCATTAGGTGTACTATTTTTCTTCCACTTTGCTCAGCTATTCTCCATCCCAAAGGGCAGATGGTTGGAGGTCTGTATCTTACACTTGTTGGTAGAACATACTGGTAAAAACACTCGTGGAGAAAATATAGTTGTTCTCGAGTGGACTAAATTTGACTAAATTCACTACTCCATAGTGAATGATTTTATCCTGTAATGGTACTACTATACAAATAAAGGATTCTGCAGTGATAAAATCAGTTCTCAAGCTTCATTCAGTTATAATTCCCTAGTAATTAGTACCATCCCTCGACTGATTGAACATTTAACAAACAATGAGCATATTAGTATCTTTTCTATGAATTATTATTTAAGACGTTAAATGAGTGACTTACTTTGCAATTAAAGGATTTTGTCCAAGTAATAATAGTAATGGTTCCGCGTTCAAGTACAAAGCACATGATGGAATACAACATAGTAAAATTAAGATAACAGCTTTAAAAGAAAAAGAAATGGAATTAAAGTCAATTGTTTAATCGGTTCCCATTTTTAAAACTTGTATATAAAGGAAATATTATTATCAGAATAGGGATTTGTGGAGATTGTAGTAGTTTTTTAATAATCAGAGAGAAGTTTTGTGAATATTATAGTAATTTATTAGTTGAATGCATGAGTCAGTTGAAGCCAGATAAATAGGTCCTGAGTTCGAATCTTGCGAGGCAAGATCGTGGATGCACACTACTGAGGAGTCCCGTACTAGGACGAAACGGCCATCCAGTACTTCTAGGTTTTTCATGATGGTCTAGCTTCAATTGACTCGTGAATTTAACGATTACATTTTTTAGTAGTTGAATTCATGAGCCTATGTAAACTAGATCATCAATGAAAGCCTGGAATCACTGGATGGCCGTTTCGTCCTAGTATTCAAAGTAATGTAATACTGAAAATATTATTATTGTTTGTTCTTATCTAGTTTTTTTACTTAATTTTACACAAAATAGATTGTCTACTATATTTTCATGCTAAAATCACAAATGAAATGTTCAGTTCTAGGCATTAAGCTTTAATTCTATGATACCGAAAAAGATTTGAGTTACTCAGTTTTTGATCATCTTGACTGAAATTTGATCAATCTTACTAAATGTTTATCTTATGTGGAATAATATCCACTTACTTACTCAATAATATATAACTACAATAGACAAAGTACTCCTAATTAACATTTATTATTTTCATTCTATTCAGAATAAAGTATATCCTGAAGACAACAATTCATTTATCCGAATAAAATGATAAGAAAGTAGTCGGAACTTGCCCGCCAATGCCCTGGTACGACCGAGAGTGGGGAGAGTCCCCTCTCCCTCTCCAAATGCCACGCGTATATAGTCTCTGCCAGGGAAGTCCTACTCACTGCCTTCTCGTGGCATTACTGTTGTTTACGAAAATGAGAGGACGAAAAGCGAATGTCCGACGCTTCAATCGGATTCCAAACCAACGGTGCACATGGGCTCCAGAATCCTGAAGGAAAAAATGCCGTATTAACCAATCGTTGGTCACCGGCTTCCATGGGACTGCATCTCCTTACGATGCTCCACTGCCTTGTGGATCAGACCTTTAGGTCGAAGGCTCGGGAAGTGGCCCCCTAAGAAAACCACTTGCCTCGGTTTGGGCACCCGGGCAGTATCACAGCCCTCACACATATCGAATGAGATTTGTGTGTCACATATGTATTTGGTGCCTCCTCGTACCAATATCTTTGTGTTAAAATAAATAAAATAAATAAAAGTGAACTTATAAACTAATGTCTTATTGACAGTTCTTAGAAATTTATAGGCTCAAGTAATACTACTTCAAACGGCAATCAATCAATTAATATATATATATGGTTTTCCACTTTGTTGAATATAGCTTTTACAATTGGATCTCTTCACATTTTTATTGGCATTATAAATGGTCATTCATTCAGTTGGTTATGTGCTATACATTAAGATTATTGATTCAATTGTTAACTCAAAAAGAAAAAAGAATGTCGATAAAATCAGTTCATTCAGTTTGTTCCATCTTGTTGATAGGCTACTAAATTAGTTAAGAAATTTTCTAGCTATAATTAAACAACTATGTAAATATTAAAGATTCCCATTGTGAAAATTGGCTAGTGACACTCTGAAATATAGGTTAACCAAAGTAATCACCAAGACATTCTACGCAGCCAAGCTTGCGTTGACCTTCTCTTGTCGACCAGCGATGTCTACTCAAACGAAGGATAAGTTACCTGAGTTGGCCTCTTCCATGTGCATTTACAAATTCAGCTGCTCCTGTGGAGATAGCTATATAGGGCGTACTACCAGGCAACTTAACCAACGAATGAGTGAACATCTACCAACTTGGTACATAAAGGGTCAGAGAAAAACTATTCGCAGTTCTATACTAGCACATATTATTGATAGCGGTCATGCAGTGGATAAATTGAAATCATTTCGAGTTATCTATCGTATACCTCCATCATTTCCCGACGGAGTCCGTTCCCGTCTCCTATGTATAGCTGAAGCCATTGGAATTCGTACATATAACCCCAATCTATGTGTACAGAAGAAATACGTGACTCCCCTATCCCTTCCATGGCCAGTTATAACTTAACTAACAATTTTTATTTTTTATTATAAATTTTATTATTATCATTATTTATTTTATTGCAACTGTGTTATTGTTAACCTTATTTCCACATCCATTATTTGTTTGTCATTATCCGCCTCTTTGTATTCTTCACTATCTAATTATTTACACACATCTTATTACGTAATGATTTTTAAGGTTTTGTGATTACTATTCCTAGTCTATTTACCCATGTTTGACCTTCTATTTCCAACGTTTAACTATTGATAAGAGTTTTGTTACCACTATCTGTTCACCTGTCTTCGTACTATCAACTTGTACTTTTACCTATTTTATGTGTAGTGACTTATTCTATTTCATTGTGATTGTTGACTCATATTGCCTTGATTGGTTTAAAATTTTCGTATAAATATTCATGTATATTAGAGTAAAGCCTGATGACGATCTAATTGAAAACAATTGTTCGCTTATATGTGTTGTTCTAACTATGTAAATCTTCACTGGTTAATTGTCTAATTAATGTCAATCAAGAGCTAAAACTAACTTCATAGTGTGTTAATGGTTAAATAATGTTATAAATGAAATGAATTTACCTCTGTATAATTGAACAATCATTTTATCTTTCATTATACTCCCATATGTCTAGAATGCAATAAAAATGAGTAAAACAAACTGTATACATTGAATTAATATTACCATGTCTTTTCTTTACAGAAATGCGTTATTATTATTATTATTATTATTATCAGTACACTAACCAGGCACAAATCTGTGTACTTAGCTTTCGGACACACTCTTAATGTGAGGTCCAGCAATACTACCCAGACGTCCAAAAAGTGGAATAGATGGCTTTGGATTTTGATTTATATTTTATTAGCCAAATAATACAATTCCTAAAACACTGAGCCATTTCTCCACTTCAGATACATCTAGAATTGATATACCTATACTTTGTTGCACAAAAAGAAAGTCAACTAGAAAGGAATTAACTTACATTATTTAACATCCTATTTTTACTTCTATATTTTAATTAGATTTATGGACTAATGAAGCGTGTATCATAAAACAAAAACTATAATCGTTCGATTATTTAACTAATTTTTCAATCTTTTGATCCTTATTATCTTTTGTTTTGATGAGATAAAAAGGATGATCAATTTTTTTCGGTATGAAAACTATGGTGAGACTATAATTTATGGACGAATCAATCAGGTGTAAGATAACAGTTCTCGGATTTTGCCGCGAACTTCACTTATCTATTTAGATAAACAGAGTCTTAGTATCGTAGCTGATGTCAGTTCGTGATGTAAACCTTAAATTTAATTCTTAACCTTAATCATCAAGTGGAAATCATAATTCGAATTCTTCACCCATGTTTATAACCCTCATTTGGTCCTAGTTATTAGGTGGACACTCTCAATGTCAGTCTAGCGTCGCTCAAAGGTCATCCATAAATTATAGTCTCACTAAGGCTTTTTCTATGGTTTCAATATTAAAATAGTTAAAATCATGAGTCAGTCGAAGCTGGAACACCATGGAAAACCTGGAAGCACTGAACGATCGTTTCGTCTTATTATGGGACTCCCCAGCAGTGCGCATCCACGATCCCCCACCACGAGATTCGAACCCAGGACCTATCAGTCTCGCGCGTGAGCACTTAACCAATCCAAAAATTTGCGCCACTGCCCACTATTGTCTTCAGTGAGCTGATATCTCACAACAGACTTAGTTGAACTCCACTGGTCACGGCTTTTCACTAGAGCTCCAGGAAATGAATCTTGAAGTCAGTCACTAGTGAGTAGATGATTATTATCAGAAGAAATTTTGTGGAGATTTTAGTCATTTCAGTAGTTGAAATCATGAGTCAATCAAAGCTGTCATTTTTTTTATGAATGAATAAACTTATTAGTGTGAATATTGGATAAGATTTAAAAGTTTTCTCTTGTTAAATTTGAGTATACTAAAAGATTCAATTATTTGATTGTTTTCTTGGTACAAAATGAATAACTTACTCACGCCTGTTACCACCCTTCATGAGGGAGCATAGGCATCTCATCAGACAAAATGAATTATAATTGATTAAATGAACTGTAATTTTATACTATAAAAATTAAATATACTTCTCCTTATGAATGGAACAAAATAGAAAGTTCTCCTTTGGTACTTATAAAATAAACTATTGTTGACTTTGTTTCACACTAGTCGGCATCTTAATAATAAAAACATATAAAAACTTCATTGAGTAATAGTTAAACATTAAACTGAAAATTATTGTCAGTATTGTCATAAATGATAATGGAGTAGATCTGTAATTCATGTAGATGATTTTGATGAAGTTTTGTTGGCTAAACCATCTAGGTCAAAGAATGAAACTTCATCAAAATTGTTCCAAGAACATTTTTAATATGTTTACGTCTAAAATGTATTTTTGCATAGATTACTAAAGTAATAAATAAATAGATTATTATAAAACTAACAAACTGATCAATTGTAGTCTTAAACCTTAATGGGAAGATATAAGCCAAACAATACCAAATGAAACTAATTAATTATTCTAAATATTGAAGCAAAAGAAAAAAAGAAAATGTATTCTTACTTGTGAAAATAATGTATCACATGCAGAGAGTAATCCTAGAATAACAAACATACCACAAACACTGAACACTGACATAGCTAAACCGATTGTAGCTAATTGAATTTTGCCTAAATGACCACAGAATGCCATACTGACAGGTGAAATTGTATATGTTAACATTGATGAAATAGTCTAAAATATAAAATTTAAAATATATATATATATTCATTGGATATAAATTAATAATGGATCCTAGAAAAATCAATTTAGTTAAAAACAATCAATAGATTTTGATCCCGATATATATTGACACAAATCGGAATCAACTCTACATCTTGTACTATTCATTAGCTAATTATCACTTCAATGGATATCAACATCTTGACTAGATCATTTATTATTATTGACATTGAAAAGGATCAAATGTTTGGTCTCATATTAATTATATAATAGACATAAGGAACTTTTTAAGTATTCTAGTCTTCTAGTATTGATACTGTGGCTAAAGTATGAGTGTGATTTTCAAGTATGACATAAGTGAATATAATAAACCTGTGAATTTTTCTACCCCAAAAATGTTCTCTTAATTTCACATTTGACAATTAAATCAATAGTAGATTTCAGCAAACAATCCACTTTTATTAATATTTTATATGCAATACCAACATCTCATTCACTTTAAGAATGCTAAGATGGAAAATAAAACATGATATCTCTTTACTTGGTTACAGTCAACACCATGACTATTGGATGCCTGCTCAATGACTTAGAGGTTAAGCAATCGCGAGCAAGATCCAAAGTCCTGGGTTCAAATACCGATTGCGGGATCATGGATACGCACTTTTGAGGAGTGCCATACAACGACGAAACGTTTATCCAGTGCTTCCGGGTTTTCACTTATGGTCTAACATTCATTCATCCATGATCTGAATGAAAACCCAACAATCTCATACTATGTTGGTAGTACTGGTATAATTATATAAGTAATTTGTAGCTTCTTAACCTATAATTATTGATATTGAAACTTTGATTTGGCTTCTTCAGTGAAATAATAAAGAACTCTGACAGTTGAGTTAAAATGGCAGAACTTTTAAGATTTGATTTGAAAGAAAGAAAAACAGTGAAAAGTGATTTTTCCTCTTATTTAACTTACAATAGGTATTGCTAAACGTAGTAAATTTTTTAATTCATATAGAAATCCTAATGGATACATTTTTCTTAATAATCTTTGACGATATGTAAGACTACGAAGTACTTCTTGATCATCTGTATATAAAAAGAATAAAAAGAATAGTGTTTTTCTAATGAAAACTATGTATTAAGAGTTATTTATCATTTTCAACTGTACATCATATTAAAACTTTATTGGAATTGAACAGAAATGATCAAAGAATTTAGAATAGTTTAAAAGACAATCTCTAATTTATGAACTTATATACAGTCAAAATGGGAGTTTGTGGAAATTGTAGAAATTTTTAGTAGTTGAATTTGTGAGTAAATTTGAGCTAGACCACCATTGAAAATTTGAGAACACTAAAAGGCCGTTTTTTTCTTAGTATGGGATTCCTCAGCAGTGCGCATCCACTCCACGAATCCCCATTCCAATAATAATCATCACATACCGATTATTTACTAGCTTCAAGGTAAATTTTTTGAAGTTCTAGTGAGAAGCTGTGACTAGTGGAGTTCAACTGTGTCTGTTGTGGGGCAGTGAAGACAATGATGGTCGACCGCGCAATTTCGTGGTTTGATTGAAAATAGGCAATAACACCGTTGGATGACGATCAGCTCAGGGGTCTAAAGGTTGAGCGTTCACACAAGGGACCTAAGGTCTTGGGTTTGAACCCCTTAGGTGAGCGATCGTAGATTCCAATCGATGAGGAATCCTATGTTAGGACAAAATAGCCGTCTAGTGTTTCTAGATTTTCAATGATGGTCTAGCTTACATCGACCCATGCATTCAACTATTTCGTATACAGTCAATTATTGAGTTTTAAAATGAATCGTAAGGTATAAGCAACTAAATATTTTACTTCTACAGTTACGTAAAATGATAATACCACATAAGAATTAAATTATTAAGTAGTATCTTACATTTTGTAAGCTTTTATTCTACAGACTTCGTTTTAAAAAAGGCTATTTTTACCGACTGTGACTGCTGTTAATTGAGTTAAGTTTAATGAATATTTATGTCCATGGATCACATCTTGTCAATGATTGTTATTTACCATTCAAATAAGAAAATTAATTAGCAATATCTTTTGTTCACCGGTTAACAGACTAGAAGATTTACAGACATCAAGTGGTTTCAGGTTTTCCATGGTGATCTAACTTGAATTGACTCATGATCTCAACTATTGAAATTATTATAATATTCATAAAACCCCTTTTTGATCAAAAGTTAAATTTGATTTCAGATTATAGATGATTTATAAACTCTTGAAAATTGTGTTATACTGGAGAAATTTTACTTTTTTTTTAAATTTCACTGAAAAATATTTTTCATAGTGAAAATGAAATCATAGACTTCAGTGTCTTTCTCTGAATAACAAACCAAGACTAATCCGATGAAGAATGAAAAATGATAAGTGAAATTTGATAACTAGTGAAAATATATATAAGGAATTTCATTAGATACATTTGACTAATGAATCAACCAGTAAGGTTAAAAGTCATTAACGAAGAATAAGGTAGTTTCAGAATAAACTGCAGGTTCTTAGTCACTAACTACCTTTATGTTATAAAACTAACTTTCAAAATATTCAAGATAAATGTCACATAAATATAGATACTCGGCTAAATCCAACTTGTTCTTAGTAATGGTATCATGATATTCATTTTTATAATCATCTAAATGTTAATATTCTGTTTTATTAGATAAATACTACTTATATTACCGTTATTATCTATTCTAGCTGTCTAAAAATAGATTAACTTAAATCAGTAAAGAGTGATTGAAGCATTCGACTTAAAATCAGTTGATTGCACTTGTGCTCATCTGATTTCGGATGATATCACTAAAACCAACATAAACCATATATTTCAAAGCTGAATACATAAACTTATACAGTTTTACGAAATCTGATGTGAATACATTATGTAATTTAGTTATCATTCATTTTGTTATTTCTTTTATACTATTATGCAATAATTACTCATTTAAGCTAAGCGATTCATAATGAACCGTACATATATATACATATATATCATTGAAAAAAAAAAATTTCCAAACTGAATTTACCTTCGATTTCGGTATCTTTTTTGAAAAGATCAATCAGATAGTTACAATGTTTATTTTTCCTCATAGTTACAATCATTTTGTGATTACACTATTCTATAATGCATAACTTATATATATCCAAAGGTGATTCTTTCTTATATAGAAGAAAAAGTCACCTTTTTTTCACATATATAATGAGTTTTATATATTTTTACATTTATTTATTCATGATTATTATGACTGTTATTGGTGATAAATATTCTGCATAATTTAATTATTATACTTTTTAGGTTGAATTGCTTTTCATTGAAAAAAACAACCAAACAAACAAACCCGACTCGGTGAAACGAAAAAACAAAATTCACATTTAACTATTTAAATAACCAATACAGTAAAAAACGTAAGTGAAATGAAACATTTACAGTGTAGCTCGGTACAATAATAAAATGTATATATATACATGTTTTGAGTGAGTATTTTACATTGAACTCAGTATATAACATTAAAGCTGTAACCAATAATTCGTTTATTCGAATATTCACAAGGCTTTATTATTATCCGAAGGAGTTTTGTGAATATTGTAGTAATTTCAATGGTTGAGATCATGAATCAATTGAAGCTAGACCACTGTGGAAAACATGTAAGCACTGAACGACCCATTGTCGAACTTTTCAACAGTGCTCATCGACTATTCCGAGACCGATATGTCCTGGGTTGGAATCACGCCGGGCGGAATCATGGATACGCATTGCTGAGGAGTCGCACAATAGGACGAAACGGTCGTTCTGTACTTTCAGGATTTTTATGGTGGTCTAGCTTCAATTGACTTTATTATTACTGTGATAAAAGAACTTGAAGTATTCCAAATATAAAAAATGTACAATAATAACAATAATTCGGAAATTTGTAGGTATGTTTATAAAAGTAAGATTTCGTCAGGACAGATGGAGACTTAATGATAATATCGAGGCAATTTTTACAAGATGCACATATATCAAAAGAGACTCATCAATAATAGTCCTAAACATCAATGGGAAGATTCAAACAACTAGTAAAAACAAATTAAGCATAGGTTTATATATATATATATAACACTGTGTTACGGTTAAAGATGGTATGGTGATAGTATAGATTGTAACAGTTTGTTTCCAAAGTATTTCAATGGTTTTGTAGGAAAAATGAAAGGGAATAATATTCAATCACCTTTCTATTGGTCTCTCAAATTGGTAAATACACATAAAATTTGATTTATACTACTGATTATTTTGTTGATATCTAGAAGATAAAATATCAAAAGGACCTGGAATAAATGCAAACCCAATTAGTCAATTAAACTCTTTATACACACGATGAACTTAAAATTGGCTAGTTTAATATATTAATAATGTCTATTTTACAAGGCAACAATAGCTCAAATGGTAAGCTTGCTAGTTTAGTAATACTCAAGTTTTCGGTAATCATCGCTGAAAAGTATTTTAAATTCTCTGTAGGGATTAGTCAGTTATGAGTAGTAGAAAATGATTTCGCATCAGCTGAAAACATGTGCTGGTTTGTTAGTATATCACTATATAGAAAACATATATTTAGTCATTGGTTTCAGCGTAGGAACCAAATAAATTTAACTCACTATACTTCGCTATAATCATTTAAAACATTTCGAGAATTAAACAGACCGAAATTCCCAATAGTATTAGTCTAATAATATTCGTTATATCATGTTTTTGGAATCAAGCTACAAATGTAAGTGCTAAATTTTATTTATCCGTTCATGAACTCAAAAATAGGACATGTAACGATGCATAGAATAACATTCATTGATTTGCGCTCATGATATTGTGGTGCCAACAGATATAAGTGGTATGTAGTACGTATGTAGAAAAATTATGGAGAAACGTAGGACCAAAAATCAAGTCAAAGAAAAATACAACCAAAACAAAGAAATAAACAATGACAGATTTGAGGTCAACAAGAACCAATCAACATCAAAGTCTACAGGATAAGCTGTGAGCCATATGTGGAGAATTTCGAACAATTCACTTCTACATAAAGTTTGTGCTGATAATGTTGTTCAGAAGAATGATGAAAGCTGTACGATGAATCCATCCAGCTCGGAGAACAAAACCCTATCAAAAAGCGTGTAGCACCAATCGAAAGTGGAATACCTGTTAGCGGGAAATTGCCATAAAGAGAACATGAAGGGAATCTGAGTTCAATCACAATAACAACAGAATCAGAAAAATAGTGTTGTATGTAAAGGACAACTTGAAGATGTGCAGATTATGTATCTAATGTATAATTGTCGTATTTCACTAAGCGATAATAAAATTTCAAGTTAAGTATTAAATTGGTTTACCCTACCTCAGCCTTTCTTCAATACAAATGGTGCCACATATATAAAGCGAAATAACTTAAAGAAATTTAATTCTAAAAGATGTTCTGAATGATGTTTTAACTTTAACTAAAGTTAAATGTAGAGTACCTCTATAAACACTATCGACTAAAGTTTTTAAGAAAAGTACTTACTTATGCACGTAAAATACGGACGAATAGAGCATTGTAAGAAAAAGACTACTACTTTAAAAATAATGACAAAATGATGAAGAGAAACAAAAGGGATAGGAGTAAGATATCTAAAAGTCGTCTGATTGTGAATTTTGATTATTCTCTATGAAAGATATTAATCCATAATATTATCTAAATCAAAGCAGGTTTCAACTTGTATCATTTCCATGATCGTCTATCAGATTTCTGTGAATATATATATATATATCAGAATATCAGATAAGTATCTATTTATTATCAAGCTGTCAGTCAGTCAGTCAGTCAGTAACAACGTAGAACTTCGTACGTACGTACATCAGTTCGAGTTGACACACCACATTAGCACAGAGATGCAGTGGTCGATTCAAATCCCGTAGTGGTAGAGGTAATAAGAGTATAAGCAGTAATCGGGAAGATTAGGGTTTGGAGATGTTATTTAAAGAGTATAATCCAGTGAAATAAATTTGGAAAGGGGAAAAAAGGACATGAAGAATTCAGAAGATTAGAATTTGTGAGAACACAGAGAGTGGATGCACCTGCGCCATTGCAAACGATTTTGAGCTATGTCATTCAGGGTCTCTAACCATCGGTTGCTATCATCTCGTGGTCCCCAACCAGGTAGTCTACACCTACCAACATAGGTCAGTCCAGTTGTCAGTGACTTCATGAACTTGTGCCATGTTTTGGTTTGGCCGCCCCTAGCTTTCTTCCAACCTACTCCTATACCACTGAACATCAAGCTGTACAATCGTATATATATGAAAATTTGATAAGATAGAAATTTACTTAAAACATTACACATCAAGTAGTAGTTTACCCTAATTCAATCAAAAAACCTATCATTTTATTAAACTCATTAAGTCAATTAACATTATAGACAGAGAATATTCAATGTTTACATTGATTTGTTAAGACTAACTTCATTAAATGAAACTGAATTTATTTATGTATTCCATTAGAAACAGAAAAAGGGAATTCAGCGAAGAAAATTTTCTTTTCCACGACATCATTCGTATATAGAGTTACATGGGAAATCTATGTCTATAGGAGGATAGAAAAAATTACATCACCAAAATGGATTCGAGGATAAATAACAAATGAGGTTACGTACTAATCAATGGGTAAGGAAGAATATCATTTATGGGTCAGATAATAGTCCAATTGACTGATATGAAGAAAAGCGGCAAACACAATGTACTGAATAATAACCAAGATAACTTGTATTAGGTAATAATAATCACTGATTAGAGTTTTAATATGCAAAGTAATAATTTAAAAAATCCGATAATAATCAAAAAAAAGTTCAGAAAAAAAAGAACAAAAACATACCCATTAAGGGAATTAGGGCCAAAGAAGAATGAGAGGTTGGACAAATCGTTTCTGCACGCAAAGTTCGGGCTTGAGTTCGTGAATTGCCAATCCCTCAGCAGTGCATAGAATATTGATTCGACACCTCTTTGATCCAATTCATTTGACTCTGTAGATCACTTTAAAAGGAGAATATTTGGGAGAGGTGTGCCCAAAATTGATTAAATACTCCTGTATAGAACTAATGATTATCTTACATTCTCCTTTTAAAAGTCAAGCCGGATAGTGTTTTGAGATGCGTTTGGAAAGTGATCGCTTTGTTCGGCCTATATAACAAGCCCCACATGAGCATGTAAATTTATAAATACACATTGATGTGGCCCAAAGCGAAAGTTTATCTTTGACGCATCCAGGAAAGGTAGGCCGGCCTGAGAAAACAATTCGGAGCTTGGCTGAGTAGAAAGTTTTATTCAATGATTTTGAAATCCGTTTATTTAAGATTTCAGCGGCCGTTTCCCCTTTAAATTCCATATTCGTAAACAAGGTTTTCTTCTGTACTATCCATACTTTTTCATGATGAATTCTAAGTGTTAAGTTATTATTGACGAATCTAAGTGGGTAACCGTTTCTGATGAGAGTTTGTCGAAGTTCAATTAGTTCCACCTCTATTGTGTCAGTGGAACAGATTCACTTGATCCTAGAGGGTAAAGAGTGAATTAAGTTCTTCTTTCTACTCAGTGGGACCCAACTATGGAAATTCGTATACTATTCATTCCAGGTAGATTTTCTGTACATCGATCACTGTAAAAAAAGCAATCCGGCATTATTTCTAATCGGACATCAAAAAAATGAAACTCATTGTTTGCCTCTGTTTCTAAGGTGAATTGAATTGAGGAGTGACAATTATTGAAACTATTCAAAATTTCATTGAGGTTAATGTCTTCTTCACAAATAATGAAAGTATCATCCATATATCTCTTACACAAATGAAATCTCTCAATTATTGGTCAAAGTACCGAATTTTCTAGATTGGCCATGAAACAATCAGGCAAGAGAGGACCTAATGGAGAACATAATGCAACTCCATCTATTTGTCTATAGAAATCATCATTAAATCTAAATTGCACGTTGAGCGTATGTCGTAAAAGTAGTTGTTTTAGATAATGTTTTGGGATACACATATCAAGGTTATTGTTTTCAATATAGTCACATAAAAAGCAACTAGTTTCTGTGAGAAGAACAATCGTA